TTCCCGGATGTGTCCGCATGGCCTATAGTCCCCTACAACATGCCTCAACAAGAAGATGGGTGAGTTACATGTAGCATGTGCTTTTCAAATACATTAAGTGATCAAGTGCTATCTTACTTAACGTGATTTCAATAATGCACTTATGTTTCGTTAACACAGGAACTCATGTGGACTGTTCGTCCTTCGCTGTTTGCAATACTGGGACGGAGAAAAATTCATTACTGCTATTTCTCATGTGGGTACATTTTTAGTATGAAAAATTAGTACATTATATCATATATAAGTGATGAAAATAAAATTATTGTTATTACTTTTCAGGAATCTATTGATAGTTCGAGAGAAAGAATGATAGCTGGAATTATTATGTCCCCCGAAAATAAGCTTTCAGAAGTGAAGAACAAAGTAATTCGACTTGCGAAGAGGAAACAAAAATAAAAATATCATACGACTATTCTACGTGATTGTCGAAATATTACTTGTTCATGACTGAGGATTGTGTGTAGATGCTTTATTTTTTTATGTGAGTTTCAAATATTTTTAGCATGTCAAGTTTATGTACCTTGGCAAATTTATTAAAAATACATTTTAATCATTTCTTATTTTATTATTTAATTTATATTTTATGTTCAATGAGTGTTCTCGCGAATGTACGATTTCTGGTTTTAAGATACTTTGATGATATATGTAGACGATATCTGAAAGGCGAGCGCCGCACGCGCCGGACAAGGCGAGCGTCGCCCGAGCCGCACGTTCGCCGCTACATGGCGCATGTGGGCCGCGTCATCTGGCCAGCAGGCCCGCGCCGTGTGTCGCCCCAGGGTTGTTGCCGGCCCTGAAGTTGATTCTGCATCGGCCCTGGTGCGCCCCTCTGCGCCCGAGGGCGGCGTCAGCCTCGGGATCGCCCTCCGCGGCTGGATCCTCTTCGTACGTGCGCCCCTTTGGGGCCGAGTGCGGCGTCAGCCTCGGGATCGTCGGCTCCCGAATCCTCCTCGTACGTGCCACCTCTTTGCGCCCGCTGGCGCCACTCGCGGGCCAGCCACGCCTGTTAATGTTAGTTTTTTAAATGAAAGCAACCGGCGGCTGTGCAGCGCCTCTGATCGCCCAACATGCATGATTTATACACAAAATCATATATTTGTACCAAAAAGTGTATACATTAGATATCATGTTAAAAACAATGCCTATAGCGCTAAGAAATATATATTATAACATAAAATTTATATGTCACATATCATATTAATAACAACGAGTATAGTGCCAACACATATGACATAAGTAATCACTGATTACAAGTCTCCCATATCAATGTAATGAAACAAATATGTAAGTACTATTTTTTAAGAAAACCAAATAAATCGTCAACTGTAATCAGAAGTTGTTCTTTTTATTCAAACAATTTTTTGCTATGATCATCATGCCATGTTCCTGCATAGAAAGATTGTAACATACGTCAAAATTTTGAAAAGTATTAACTAAACAAGAAAAGAACGTTAATGAAATGGTGTGCACATACTTTGGATTCTGAGGACAATTGTTTTTGAAATGACCTTTTCCTCTGCATAAACCGCATAGACGTACAGGAGGTTTCTCATCAAAATGTTTGGGTCTACCGTTTGTAGTCACGCCAGGTTCCTTACCACGGGCTTTGTTATTCTGCCCTTTCGGTGCTCCTTTCGTATTTATTTTTTCTAGATCATCAACAAAAACATGATTTTGATTCAGCACAAAAGCATCATCATGTGCAACTCTATGCTATCTCACATAATCTTCCTCCTGAACATCCTTGTTTGCTATCACATCCTCCAGAGCTGCCTTCACTTTATCAAATAGAAATGGTTTATGACATGCCACATGATTTGCTTCCGCACACAAAATAGTCAACTCACTATACTTACTTCTCTCCTCAGTACCTGCCCATCCCCATGCGAAGAGATCGCTAGTGCATTTCACGGGTAGTCTACCTCTAGCATTCTTGCTGAATCTTCGCAGCACTAAGCACCCAGGTAAGTCCTGCACGTTCAACCTGGCTAAAACATAAAGAACATGCATGCATGGAAGACCTTTACATTTCATACTATCACAACTGCACTTCACTGTTTCTTCTGAATTACTAGGTGTATAGTCCACTTTGAATCTCAGTTGCCTGTTATTTTTCCGTGCCACTATGAATCTCCTACTGACGGCTCCACTCAGTCTATCTATGATCTCAAGATCCGCTGCCTTCTTCGTTTCTCTCTGCAAGAGGTAAAAGTTTACCGCAGTGAAGTCACGGGCAGGGGCTTTTTCAATGCATTTGAACTCCTCGAGTACTGCTACAGGGAGTGTCTACGTGGACAAGCAGTTGTCGTGTGACTCGTTCTCACGGAGCCGAACAATGCAGTTCTCATAATGCACAACCATATCAACAATTGTCATGCCAGAGTCAAGATGCATATGAAGGCAAGAGTTCAGACTCTCGCTCCTCTGGTTACTCCGCATACCAAGGAAGAACCCACCGGTGAGATATGACGTAGCCCAAAGCCTTTTCTTCCGGTACATCCTACGCAACCATGTTTCAGTTTTTTCCGACTCCCATTTAGCTCTAAAAGCTGCCCATCTCGCCTCAAACTCATCATGCGTAGTGGCATAATAAATAAGAGACCTGAACTCCTTAAGGGACTTGTGGTGGAGGTGTTTCTGCATGTTTTTCTCAATATGCCACGAACAAAGTCGATGCCACACGTCAGTAAGGACCTTCCTGACGGCCCTTATCATGGATGCGTCTCCGTCAGTAATTACAGACCTCGGCTTCTTCTGACAATGAGCTCTTAAGAAGGTACGCAACACCCAAACGTATGTATCCTCCGTCTCATCTGACACAACAGCACAACCGAACGCAGTGGTGCAACGATGATAGTTTAGACCAACAAAAGGTATGAATGGCATTCCGTACCTATTCATCTTGTAAGTGCTGTCGAAGATGACTACATCACCAAAGTCAAGGTAATCCCGACGTGACTGAGAATCACACCAGAACATGTTCTTCAGCTTTCCTTCTGCGTCAACAGTGTGCTCAAAGAAAAAGTCTGGATCCCTTGTCTTTCTCGTCATCATGATACCAATCGCAGTGTCCGCATCACCCTTTGCTAGCAACTTCATTTTCTCCCTATAACACATGTTATAAATCTTCCTCCTCCCGAAACCAGCCCGTGCATATGATCCATACCTACTAATGAAGTTGTCATAAATCCAATGTTTTTTTAGCCCAACACCTGCCATTGCTAAGATCTCGAGCTTCTGGTATTCCTTTATCTGATTATGAGATCGAAGATATATAACTTCATCTGGTCTAGCAAGAGTGTGACTATGATCATCACTGAAACTGCTGACATACCAAATGGAGCGCTCTCTGTCAACCTTCACAGTTAGATGGGCCTCGCAATAGCATCGAGTCTCCGCTCTCAGCCTGCGCTTCTTCCCTTCCATGGTACAAAACTTGGCCTGTCGTTTCCCAGACCTTGAACAGAGAAACCTCCTCAACCGCCTACGTGCGTCGATACCCTTACTATATTTCAAGTTGTCCCTCCTAATGCTGAAGCCACGCTTTTTCGCATAGTCGTTATAGAAATCATATGCTTCCTCGTCTGTCCTGAACGTCCTGGACATCACCGTCCAATGCCTGTCCAGTGATTCTTGCTGGTATTCATCGTACCCAGTGTCAAAATTGCACTCATCACCATCGGCATCATCATCGTTTTCGCACGCGTCACCATCCTCTTCCTGAAAAAAGTACAAACAACCGTATATGTCAGTAACTAGTTGTATAACGACTATCATATGTATTCACTTTCCACTACTTACTTTGCTTGAGCTGTCATTATAAGATGCATCGATATCGTTTTCGTCATTGGCATCATCAAAAAAATTCCACTGATAGTACCCTTCCACTTCCATCTGCGCAAATTGTAAATATGATATGTAAGACTTGATGCGTATTTAATTTCACTTTAAAATAACCTACATAAATCTAAACCTACATGGCTTCCGCTTTCAGCACATGAATCATCTACATCCATATCCTCATTGTCATCATCCCCTCCTATCTGTGCACAGTCAAACATGTTATTGTCATCACGGATGCTTGTATTTAATATGGTTGAGAACATGCAAACCACTTACATTGCCACTGTAAGACTCATCCAAACTCATATAATTTTCGCTGTCATGTTCGTCTTCATCCAATGACAATGATCCGTCCTCGCTACTGCCATCATCACCGTCATATCCTATTTCAGCCTCAATCTATACACGTTCATATATAATTAAATATCCATTCAAACATCACGTAACATCTTCTCAATTAAAATCCATTCTTAAATTACTATGCCAGCGCCTCGCGTACCTCGTTGCCTTCGTCAGACATGAGGCGGTTGTCGCCGGATACGAGCTGACGGCGGCGGAGGCGTCTGCCCGAACGAGGCGGTTGTCGGCGTAGCGCACAACGCGTACGTTTTTTTCGTCGGCTAGGTACTGCCGGAGATGGCGGCGGCGGCGGTGGCGGCGGCGGCGCAAGAGGAGGCGGGATGAGGCGTCTTGAGGATAGGATTCGCCGATTTTTTTAATCACTCGGGCCTACGCAGCGGGTGCGGGCGGGCATGCATGCGGACGTGGGCGCGTACGGGCGGACGTGGGCGCGTACGGGCGGCCGTACGCGACAGTGCCGTACGGCGACGCAGGCGCGCCTACGGCGGGCGGGTATTTTTATACGGCGCGTGAAAATGACCGTCCCTACCCTTTATACGTTTTGGGGGGGGGGGTTGTACCGAAGACCACCTTTCTTGTTCTGCTTCTAGCACTGGGTCTGTCCCTTCTATTGAGGAAGCCGGCTGGCAGACGGCTGCCGTCACTAAATATTTGCTGCATACTTAATCACCACGCTGTAGATGAATTATTATTTTTTCTTCATATATGTAGTTCATCCGTCCAACGCTCTGCACTATAAATACTAATTTGTGTGCCAGGCCACCGCTGTGGTAGTGCCCATGTCTCTTCTCCAGTCAGTCACATCGTGCTATGATGCACACATCCTCAAGTCTGGGAAGCAACCCTGGTAAGCCAATTATTAGAAGCGCATTTTTTTGTCCCATCACATGCACAATCTCATCAATGGATAATTTCCCATTATCATGTTCAAGAGTTTTTTGGTCAGCTCTGATAATTGGGATCTCATGGATGCCACCAATGCACACAATAAATAAACATATTTGACGATGCCTTCTTGAACAGATAAGCCTCCCCCCTTGCAAAAGAAAAAACGACCAGCCTCCCTATATGAAATCAATAAACTGGAGCACTCCAATCTATCTACTACTTAGCCCTCAGAAACCAGTATGACTACTAGCCAACTACACTCAAATCATAGAGCTCTAAAATCTACAGTAACTATCTCACATGGTATTGTACTAAAAAACAAAGTTTTTCAATTTCTCACTAAACTACAAGTCAAATCATTCTATTGTTGCGAAGTTGTGAGGTATATATATGATAGCTTACGATTGTTTGAAAAACTAAGACCATGGTCTATCCTTAATGTGAGATTTCATTTTGAATTAGTTGGTATGCTTAATTCTTTTGTTCTGCTTCAGCTCACTCTTACATAATGCCAATTCGTGTCAAGAGCCCTTCGCTGGCAACTCACTGGATGTAGAAACCCAAGTGGACGCAGCCGTTGAGCCCTAAATTGTTGTTTTTTGTGACGATTATGGGTATTTATTTACATCAGGCAGAACATCTTATATGGGTGTCTTATCGTAATGTTTCTACCTGGCAAAGATATCGTCTTGATTCTTGAATTTTACCAGCTCCTTTCCTACTTTTACCATTCAATTATTACAATTGTTGTATGTATCATATCTGTTGTCAGGTGAGCCTTGAAACATACTCCCTTTGTATCAAAATATAAGATGTTTTTTTGACACTGGAGTATATGGCTTGCCAATCCCATCATGATTATGAATATATATGTTGTTTGCTGCTGGAGAAAAATAAATTTTCTGTCCATTGATTGAGTGCGTTACAGTAATAATTTCCAAACGTCACATGAAACAAGGAAATATTTTCACGTGACTTCCTGTTTTGACAGATATAACAAGGAAACATCCACATCAATTTTGTTCTTGATATATTTTATATTGGTTTATAGCTCACTGATCATACCATTTTTTTATTTGTGATATAAGAATATTTTCCTTATCGAACTTCCATTTTTTGGGATTATATTATGCTCAATTAATTTGATAGAAGTATACCCAGAGTACGATAAACAAGGAAACAGAGCACACTCGCATAATTAAATTAGCTTTGCCAAGGATATAGGGCAAAACTTCCTTGTGTAGATCTTCTGCATGTATTGCACTAAGCTCTTGGTTACCATTTGGAATCTTATTCCAGGATCCATGTTAATCCCATACATATTTCCGAGCTTGTAGGATGACTGGAATATTGCCCTGTTGTACGTCGAAGATCTCAAGCAACAAAATTTGCTCTTAATGTACTGCTGCAGGATCAGGATATCTCTCAAAATTTAGTACTTTCTGGTGTTGATCTCAAGTGCTAGCTCCTACTATTGGTAACATGTGTTGGATATGCTATATTGGTCATATCTCATCTATATAAATATATATCTGTGTTTGATTTTCTGTGAAAATGAATTGATATAATAAGAAACATAATTAATGCCTATTTGGTCTCTTTGCCATCTGCCAGCAGATGGCAAAGAGCCTGCAGCCTTTGCCGTCTGCCAGCAGATGGCAAAGAGCCATGCCCTTTGCCGCCCGCCAGCAGATGGCAAAGAGCCATGCCCTTTGCCATCCGCTGGCCGACGACAAAGGCCTTTGCATCTTTGCCGTCCGTCAGCAGACGGCAAAGTGCCCTTTGCCGTAGTTCGTTCAGCCGGACGTTTTGTCGTCTGCTGGCTGACGGCAAAGACCTTTGCCGTCCGTAAGGCATGTCTTTGCCGTCAGCCATGGCAGATGGCAAAGTTCCTGATTCCTGTAGTGACCACGGACAACACCACCACCACGGCCTAGACCACCACCACCACGGCCTTTTGTAAGTCCTAGCTGCCGACCTCTTTGTTGCCTAGATCCTCTTTGGCTACCACTAGGTTGGCTACCACTTGGTTGGCTTGGCACTTGTTGGCTACCACTTGGTTGCCTTGGCACTTGTTGGCTACCACTAGGTTGCCTTGGCACTTGTTGGCTACCACTAGGCTGGCTACAACTTGGTTGCCTTGGCACTTGTTGGCTACCACTAGGTTAGCTACCACTTGGTTGCCTTGGCACTTGTTGGCTACCACTAGGTTGGCTACCACTTGGTTGCCTTGGCAATTGTTGGCTACCACTTGGTTGCCCTCGCACTTGTTGGCTATCTCTTGGTTGGCTTGGCACTTGTTGGATACCACTTGGTTGGCTCCCTTGTGTAGCTCCTTGTTGGCTTGTGCTCGCATCATTTTTCTTGGACCTTTTCCTTGGTTTCGTACATTTTCTTTTGTTGTGGCCATGACCTTTGCATTTCCCACAACGGGAGCTCTCACGAGGCTCTTGGAATTGGTCGTTGCCCGCTTCGCGGCGGCCACCATGGCCCCATCCGTCTATGTTGCCTCTAAGATGCTTTGTCTTACGTCTACCCCGTTTAACAACCTTCAACTCCGGATCCGGCCATAGTTGAACTTCACGGTACTCCGGCCATTGCGATTGGTCAAAGTACGGGTGAAAGCGGGGAGCCCATGTTTTCTTGACCGTCATGATTGAGAACTCTGACTCCCTCACGGTGAGGGGATGATTGATGTCCACATTCCTAATGCGACCGGTGGTATACAAGTGTGAGCATGTGAGATGAAGCAACAATGGCCTCCCGCAAGAGCAATTACAACGTGTTAACGACACCTTGAAAGCCCGACCTCCATGTTGGCAGCCATCGTTTGTGGTTCCTCCTGGCTCTTTCACTTCGTACTTCCACTCTTCGTTGTCATATAGTATAGCTTCTTCTGAGTCCGCCTTCGGTGATTGAAATTCCAACCATTCATCAACCTTGGGTGGGAACTTGTACTTGTACTTGCGCTTGTTCTCACCCGCTATCTGTGCATCCATTTCCATCGAGTACATTAGAAAGTACGCATTCAAATTGTGAAATGTGTATTGAATTATTGCCGTCACGGGTAATCCACGTGCACCTTTGAGCACCTTATTGAAGCATTCGGCCATATTGCTTGTCATTTGACCGTATCTCTGGCCATCTTCATCAAAAGCACATGCCCACTTGTTCCGGTATTCAATGTGCCTATTGAGAAAGTCTTGACCCCGGGATCAATTTTTTTGTGTGCGAGCAATTTGTTGTACAAAGTGGCAAACCGCTTGTCGGAGAAAGCGAGACAACAATCTTGAAGGTCATCGTCCAACTCCTTAAGGCCACATGCCCTATAGAAGTTCGAACAAAAGTGCCTCATGCACCATCGATGGTGCAATGGAGCATGCCCGGGAATGTCAATCTCCACCGCGTTAAGAATTCCTTGATGTCGATCCGATATGACACAAATTTCCCTCTGAGCGGGTAACACCTTCGTCCTCAAAAGACGCAAAAACCACTCCCAGTTGTCATTGTTCTCCACCTCAACCAAAGCAAATGCCAATGGCAACACCCGGTTATTGGCATCACTTGCTATCGCAACCAACAAGGCGCCCTTGTATTGTCCGGTCAAGAACGTGCCATCATTGGTGATGACCGGCCTACAGTGTTCGAAAGACCTCACGCATTGCTCGAACGCCCAAAATGCACGGCCAAATACTCGAACTTTTCTTCCTTCATGAACCATTGTTTTCCCCCATGAGGCTCGACCACATGAACCATGCCCGGGTTTGTCGCAACCATGGCCAACAACAACGTAGGGATTCGGTTGTATGCTTCCTCCCAAGTACCATACAACATCTTAAATGCGGCTTGCTTCGCCTTCCCTGCCTTGTCGTACTTCACCTTGTAATGAAATATGGCTTTCACAAGGTCAATGACATGTTGGATGCTCATTGTTGGAAGTGTGGATATTGAGTCTGAGAGCCTGTAAGCGATGAACTCAGACATGAGCTCTTTGTGGTCTTGGGACACAACCTTGCCATCCACCCATTTGCCTCGGCACATGTGAGTTGGCACACATCTCACTACGTGCCAAGTGGGACCTCCTTTCCATGGTCTTGCACGCACAATCCACGGACATATTTCATCTTCACATGCACATGCAACCGTGTAGCGCACATTGATGTCCGAGTTCACCACCTTGTGTGGACGATAATGCGTAACCGAGTAGTTGTCGAGCCACATCTTCAATTCCAAGAAGGTTTTGAACTTAGACCCTTTAGCAATCGGGTTATTGTCATCTTCCAAATCATGGTGAGAGCTTCACCTAACCCCAAGCCGCGAGACTAACATCCTTGAACAATGTAGTCCGATGATCCCGACCGAATACCTTCTCGAAAGCTTCGGCCTCCTTCAACGTGAACCCCTCCTCATCAACTTGTTCATCGGGAACTTCGTCATCCGAATCCGATGCATAGCCACGGGAATAAGGGATGGAAGGGTCCATTGTCTCTTGCAAATGATATTTGTCAAGATCACCCACATTGTTGTCATGGAGATCAACTTCATTGTCATCATCCGCATACTCATCATTCTCCTCTTGCAAAGCTTCATCTTGGTTGTTTGTAAACGAGCTCAATGTTGGCCTCACTTCTTGGGTCAAAAGAGGTTCAACAATTTCATCTCGCTTCAAGGGTGGGGGGCCACTAGCAACCAAAGGGGAGGGGTTCAGGTTCAAGTCCAAATGCAAACTTGAATCAACCTTCTTTGTTGCAAATAACTCAAGAGCCTTGTCTAGTGATTCGGCCACCATCTCCTTGTATGCAACCCAATGTTGCTCCGAGTTGGCATGCATTGTCTTCCAATGGGTGTGCATTCCAAAACCTACATTATGCCTTCCCTCCAACTAAACGATATCACTAGGGTCCATCCAATTCAAATCTTTCCTCACTTGTTGCAAGAGCTCCACATAGCTAGGACTACTATCAAACACCATGTCAAGCTCATCCGATTCTGGTTCAATATTGCCTTTGAAGAAGGCATCTTTGTCCCCATGATGAACAAAGACACATGTTCTTCCCATCCCTATAAGCATTCAAACAACACAACGTAACATTGCTTCCATGAGTACTAATCCAAGGATTAACACGGAATACAAACCCTAACATACATATGAAACAACAACCCTAACCATAGCACCAACATAAGAACACCCATAAGAATAACCCTAACATACTAACAAGTCTAATAATAGGAAATTGGCAAACAAACATCTCATATCTCCATGCAAATCTCTAGATCCATACAAAACTTGGGTTTCCCCAAACTAGCAACAAATGAGCAATTTGATAACATTACTTGGATCAAAACAAGGGGATCGGAGAAGATTACCATGAGGGAGGGTTTGACTTCGAAATCCATGGACAAATTCTTCAAATTTGCAAGATTTGGGAGAGGATTTGAGAGGGGGGAGAGGGGG